GTTCTTTATTTCGTAAATTACGGTTTCATATTTTTAATTTTAGAATTTCTGCATGCCATCTTACCAAGATTTAAACTGATGATCTATAATCCGGAAAAATCGATAATCCGGAATTGAAGTCCCGATGAGTCCGGATTAACGACTTTTGACTGTATTTGGTTAGAGCCTTTATCAGTCTTTAAAGGCTAGGCATGAGATGAAAGGAAAGACTGTTTTCATCAAGAGGGAAAACGTCTTTAGATGATATCCATATATGTCACTGGATAAATTCCTAAATCTTCAAATAATTCGACTGAGAAATCATGGGATGCTCCGTTTATGCTACGATATAATGTTCTATGACGTAATTTAAATTTATACAACCATATAGTCGAAAACCAGACGCTCTTCATTTTAATCTGCAATTATATCTTTTTTGTCTTTTCCGTTAGCACAAACTCAATTGCTGCTATTTGCTGGTGTAAACGTCCAAGTGTTTTCTCTTTGAACACCCAACTTCCTTGAAGTAGATTCTCCTTCAAATGTTTCCTTCCCCCCCTCCCCAATATCCTTATTTCCTTCTATATTTGTTTTCAGTGATGACACTAGAAAATTAAGTTTTTTCGATTGCTACACTTCCATAAATTTTGCATTCTTGTCAATTTTTTTACAATATCAGTTGCATTAAATGCATTTCAGCTGAAGACAGCTTTTCATTTTCTAGACATTTTAACTATAAATGAAGTTTAAAGCAAAGTCCAAAGGAAAAATATTTGAATTAAAAGAACATGTTTTTAATGTATATTCTACAACATGAGAGAAAATTACTGCTTAAAACATTCTCTAAGAGGATTAATGTAAAAATTTATGTATATATATATATATATATATATTCTTAAAGCTGGAATGTTACTCAAACTGTCAACGTCCTGTTTGCTTAGAAACATTTGAAAATAAACATGAAACAAACTTTCTCAGTTTTAGACAATTCAATTTAAAGTTAAAGTGAAGTAGCAGACGATAACACGGCAAAGGTAAAAATGTATTCTTACAAATATTTTTTTTAAAAAAAGGAAGAATGAAAGGAATTTGAAAAAATTTACAAATTTTTATTACTTTGTTGCTACGTGGGTGTAAATGTACGTAGTCTGACCTTACGCGTACTTTGTAACACAAGTGCATTCTAAAATAACTAATTGCGTCTGGGTTTTCGAGACAAATGAACGCAGCGCTTTTTCGCTGCGTAGCAGTCAAACAGTTAAATCAGTTGAACTACTTCTTAATTTGTGCTTCTTAATTTAGCATCATCTGCAAATACCTGCTGAATTTTATGAATTGTTTCACTTTCAGAATTTCAACAAAATTTGATGCAGTATCTGTGCTCAACTCATTTAGTTATTAAGTAGGCAACAACTGGAGAAAATATTCAAGCATATGCACATTAAGCACACTGTCCTTCCACTGTGCTCAGTGGCGCCACCCTTGCATCATGAATATGCTTGGAAAAATTCAGGTTGGTTACATTTTAGACATACCTCATATGCTTACCATTGAGCACTCACAATTAAAAATACAAGTATCTGAAAAATATTTAAAGTACTAGTTTATAAATTTCTTGCTGAGTGGCAGATATACACAGTCAGTTTCATTTTTTTATTAAAACAAAATTTGATATAGCTGGAAGAAGATGCTAATGTCATTTTGATGTTTTAATGGACAGGGTTATTCAGGAAATTGTTTTTAAATTTTTTTTTTCCTTCAAATTTTGTATTTCTGTGTAGAGTGAGTATCCTACATTTATCAGTCAATGCTCTTATATATCATATTTAGAATATATTTCTAGTTTTCAGTGCAATCAAGACCTGATAGTCATAAAATCATTTGAAAAAAAGATTAAATCTTCTGTAATGTCTATTGGAAATAAATGTTTAGCACACATGTAATGTTTAATATTGTTTGAAATTTTGTCATAGAAGCTATATGCAGATATGATTATTAATCATAAAAATCATATGTGGAAACCACATGACTTTTTTGTGCAGCCTATTAAATAATGCACATTTTTTTGCTGCACTTCATTCATTTGAACTTATTTCCTCAAATTATGCTAACTTAAAGAACTGATCTCTCAAGGCAAATTCAAAATGAAATCAAAAACTACAAATTTTGAAATTAAATATCTCAGTCAGTTTTTATTGTACAGGAAGCAAAATTATTCTAATTTAATTTTTTGCATAATGAGTGTAAAACATTCCCAAATATAAGTATAGGAACCATGTCGATCTCATTAAAAATCAGATTTAGTTATTTGTCAAAAATTAATTTTTTAAAAAAAAATGTGAACATTTTCATCATTTCAAACACATCTGTAATAAGTATGTGACTGTGACCAACAATTACGAAAATAAAGGCCAGGGAAAGACTTTTAAGCCAGATAAGGGAGGTGAGTATGCAAAAATATATGTATATATGTACCTTTAGTTCTGCTGATTGCAGTAAAAAAGGGAGGTGTATAATTATACTCTATAGCAGTCCCAAATATAAAATTTCAACTCTGTACGGCTAATTGTTTTTGAGTTATGCAAGATATATACATATGTACACTGCAGGGTGGGGAAGGACAATCTCTCGTTCTATTGAGCTGATTGACGAAATTCAAATTGCGTTTTTCATGCCTCAAAAGCGCGACTTAGGATCAGAACAATGCTATAGATTTATATATAGCATTGTTCTGATATAGGAATTTTGACACATAATCGGACTTTTTCTGAAATGATATGAAAATTTTTTTCCACATTTCGATTCTACAACTCAAATTATGCCAAACTGCCAAGTTTCGTAAAAATCGCACGAGTAGTTTTTAAAAAATTAACTGTCAAAATTTTAGCTCCTCAATGTTAATTCAATTTGGTTTAATATATCTTTTTTTATTACACTTATGATTCCTAATTTCGCAGTTCAAAATTTAGGTTCTTTCCAAATAAAATTCATCCATTTTATAAATTTCTATTTTAAAATAATTTTTATAAATTTTCTGAAAAAAGTTTTGAATTATAACCTATAAAATTTTTACTATCATCTTAAAGTAGATGTATTTCTAAGCATACCTAGAAAAAATTAGAATTTTTATTCAAAATTCTTGACGATATACATGATTTTATATTTTGTTGCATTTTGAAATTTGGCATATTTGTTGAAAGCGATAATAGCATCAAATATGGTTTACGTACTTTGTTAAAATTATTTGAAAGTAGGAACGATGGGACTTTTTCTGCTCATGTATAATGGAAAATGTTAGGAATGATGTCACTTTTTCCCCACTCCTGCACAATGGAAGGGAAAGGAAAATAGGTTGCCATATATTAAGAAGTTCCACCGAAAATCTGCGAAGCTAAATTTTTCAATTTCTCCATAAATTTCGCACCAAAGTTTACAAAATTCAATATTTAGGCATAATTTCAATCAAAGAATCGAAATATGGAAAAAAACTGTTACTTCAGAAAAAGACTCATTTTTATGTCTAAATACCTATGTTAGAACAATGTTATATATAAATTTAATATGCATCCTAAATTGTGCTTTCGAGACATTAAAAACGCAATATTATTATTATTATTATTATTATTATTTTCGCAGTTATAGACATCATGTAAAGACTCTTTTGAATCCATCAATATCTTTTGGAAAAAGCAGTCCTTTATTCTGTCTGTATGTACAGATGTTGCGCAAAAAGAAGAAAGGAAAGAAAAGTGTACAGATGGATTTGTGTATTTGGGAATGGGCAAAATGAATATTTATTTTGAAATACACGATAATTAAAATTTTTCGGGACTACAATACTTTGTACAAGGAAGTAAAAATGGTTAATTTTTGGAATTTTTTGAAGAGATTTATTGATAAGCTGAATATATTGTTGCTGCCTCTCATTCATCAGTGCCAGGATGGGCATAATACAGAAGCTACTGCAGAATTATATATATATTTTTTGTAGTTATGAGTTCAGATATTATGAGGAAACACTTGTACTAAATTCTGTATTCCATTTTAAAGGCATTCCATTTGTTGTATAATCATTTCTTTTATAGCAAATAAGCTCCTTAACAGACAGTAATATTTAGATATTAAGATAACTTGATCAGTACGAAATCTCCCTTGTGTAGAAATGCAATATTCTATTGAAAGAAAATCTTTTGTTCTTAAATGAGGTGTTAATTCTTTTGCCATCAGACCACTGAACAATCATTAAACTATTAAAAGATCCTTTCTCATGTATCAGTTCTAATGATGAGGACGGTAATAGTATTCTATATGATCAGACCAGTTGTCTTGATATTATAAGCATTAGAAGGTTTTACCAAAGGCAGAAATAGGATTCTCTTCCAGTCTTCTGTTTTCTGGCTAGATATTCTAAAGATGTTTCTTTTCTTCTTGTTACTCAATGATGGCCTGAGTAGTGACTCGGAGAACTATATATTCAAGAGCCTTTTGCCTGTATGCTGTCTATGTTATACAGTAGCAAATATATCAGTTAACAAAATTTACAGAAGAGTCTTTTTTTATAACAGACTTTGATCTGCCTGGCCTTTGTCAGTTTGAGCTGGTACATTGAACAAATATATTATATATGACATTCTATGAGTACTACTGTTTTTGGGGGAATGTGCTGCAATAAATAAATAATTTTATAGCTATCACTGTCTGTCACTTGTCAAAACCTGTAAGAAGACATTGCAGATCACTTGCCAGACTATCAAAGCAATATTTGAATTTGGAAATCTTGATGAACTTTAAAATCATTTACACAATTTGTAATATTTTTATGTTTAGTGCAAGTCTCTGAAACTGTACATAAGTCTTATTATTCCTTCTTGTTGTGGTTTCCCCCCAGTTTTGCTGGCTGAATACCATAATGACATCTGCACTTCAAAGAATTCTTAATTTTTTTTCTGAGTATCTATTACTTGTTGAGGAAATTTAAGACAATGCTTATTACTTGTTTACAATATTTTTTCCTTTTTCAGTGAAACTAATGAGGTTAATCAAGATTGTGTCTTTAGAACAGAAAAACGTAAGTTACATACACTTTTGTAATAAAATACACAAATAAATCTGTTTTAAAATTTTGTTTGGACAAAACAAATTGTACTAATTGTTAACTCTGTTACTTAGAATTGTTTTTAACTATTCTAATATTTAATATAATTACTTATTTGCTGTTAGATTTTTTAGTTTTATGGTAAATAAAAGAACATTATAGGTTGCTGTAGTAGTAAAAATGATTAATTAGCAAATGAAGTAAAAAATGCCAATATTTGAAGCAAGTTCTGTCTAGTCAGTGGATTTATAAGTGCTCGAATTTTTTAAAGTTTTTAGATTTTGTTTACTGTGTCAATAAAAAAATATTTCACAGATAATGTAGTGTAGTCCTAGATTTCTGTTTTGAAATGGTTAATTTCAACGTACAGTAAGCTCTCTTTAATATGGTAATGTTTGTCTTCCAGTGTTTTGATAACATTAAATGATGAGAAAAATCTATGCATCAAATAGCAAAGAAATTTAATCACCATAATATAAATATAAGTAGGTACTTTCACACCATTTTAATTAGGAAAGTGGAAAAGTTTGCATATGAACCCTTTAGTAATGTCTTCAATGCAAATGTTCATGTATAAATATTGTACTCTAATTTTAAGATTCAGTGTGTATCTCTCACTAGAAGAAAACATGCCAGTGCAAGATTTTAAAATGGGCCGAAAAAACAACCTTAGTTTGGCACAGATGTTTTTAGAGAATCTTTTTTTCAGAAAAAGAAAAAAAGTATCTTTTGCTCCTGAAGAAGAAGAACCTGTATCTGATCACCTTCAAAACTGAATACATCTACATCAGAACCTAACATCAAATTGAGACTTTTTTTTTTTTACGTTATTTTAAATGGTTGAGTCAAATCAAAGCCAAGCTGTTTGGCAACAAAATACCTTCCTTGAAAACATTTAGTAATGTTTCCAAGGAAGTTAATTGGCATTTCTTATGACCTGCATTTACCATATTTGTGACATTATCTTTTGTTTGGTGACTTAACTTCAGTTTAAAAAATTACTGTCTAACATTTGTATTATATTAACTGAATTGTAGATCACAATAAGCAAAGTATTTTTTCATATTTTCGTGTACAGGCAGGTGGGACTTTGGCAATTCAGTAACAGTATCCAAATGGTAATAAAGTAAAAAATCCGAGATACGGGACTTCAGCGATCCCGGATTTTTCTGGATATTATATCAGTTTAAATCTAGTAAAATGGCATGTAGGAATTATAAAATTAAAAGTATGATTTCATGATCTATGAAATAATGAAGCATTTATGATCAAAACGGTATCAAAAGTTACGAAAAAATCTTAATATTTATTTGTTTACTTTATTAAACATTTCTTTCAATGTAAGTTGATTAAGTTGCTTCTTTTTTTTGTGCTAACACTTTCTCTTTTTCTTCTGTAGACAGATATAATTTCTTTTTCAGTTACAAAGTTCCATTGTTCAAGTCCTGCAATTGCTGTGTCGAGAATTCCAACAAACTTATGAATCAAAATTTTTTCGTTTTCAATAACTTCTCTATCACTTTCTTCACTATTGGTAGCAGTGTATATTCGGGATCCAAAACTATACTACAGATTGCGCCTTTCGTTAATTGATTGATGATTGGGGTATTGTCATCGTTATGAAAAACTTCTATTATATCATCTTCATTTATTGCAACTTCTCCACATTTCTCTACAAAATCCATTAATTGGAAAATTTTACGTTTGATCTCCGATATCCTAGAATCTCCAAATTCGTGGCTATCATTTTCATCATCCTCACCATGAAACATGGTAGCTGGGCATATATTATGCCAAGCATTTTTAAACTTATCTGAAGACACATCCTCCGACGATTTTGCAATGCTCCACACAGCAGCTGTTATCCTCAAATACTTCAGAAATTCTTGAATAGTCTTACCATTATTCGAGAAATTAAACATAGACTTTAAAAATGCTACTTTATATTTGCATTTCAGTGTGTGCACTATTCCGATAGCTATAGGCTGAATGATGGATGTAAAATTTGGAGGAAAGAAACTACGAATACATTAATTAGCCTTTGATTAAACCTATAAGTGAAGTATGAGCCATACAGTTGAATACAATCAGGTCAATTTTTGCATCATCAGGTAAACCAAACGAATTCAAATGTTGTCGATACTCGGGTATGAAATGATTTTCAAACCAATTGTTCATTAATGCTTATGTTACATGGTTTTTCGTTCTGAAGTCCTAACTGTTGAACTATTTCTTCGATTTTATTCTTTTGGTTTATGGCAAAAGTTCCATCCTTAAATCTTTCAATGTTTATGCCGAGATAGTAGGTGACTTCTCCTAGGTTTTTGATTTCGAATTTAGCATTCAATTGTTGGATTGTTTCCATTACATCTTCTTCTCTTTCACTTCCTACAAGCATATCATCTACATATAATATTATATACGTGAATTTTCCATTGATGTTTTTGTAAAACAAGCATGGGTCGGCTTTACTTTGTTTAAATGACATGTTTAGAAGTATTTTCCAATTTTCAGATTCCAAGCTCTAGCGGCTTGTTTTAAACCATACATAGATTTCTTCAGCTTGCAAACTTTATTTTTCACTTAAAATAATTATTAACTTTTGAGTATCCTTCGGATTGAGTCGTATAAATTTCTTCTTCTAGTTCTCCATGAAGGAAAGCTGTTTTCACATCGATATGTTTGACAGACATGTTTTTATACGAAGCTGCACACAGGAAGGCTCGTAGCGTTGTGTATTTTACTACAGGAGCAAAGGTTTCATCATAGTCAGATCCAAACTTCTGACTAAATCCTTTTGCGACTAATCTGGCTTTGTATCTTTCAATTTTTCCTTCTGCATTGAGCTTTGTCTTGAAAGACCATTTGCATCCTATTGGTTTTCTTTTTTCGGTAAATCAACTAATTCCCAAGTATTGTTTTCTTCAAGTGAATTAATTTCTTCTCGAACAGCTGTTAGCCATTATCTTTTTTCATTTTCTTCCAAACTTTGAATTTCCGTCCAAGTTTTGGGTTCGGAGGAGATTGCATATTTGGCATGGAATCAGTAGCGATCAGGAGGTTTACCTTTTGTGAGTCTGTTTCGATCTTCTGAGTTCCAAAGGTTCTTCTTCGTGTTCTGATATTTCTTCCTTCTTCGGGTTCTTCTATTTTTATTTCTTCCCATGTTCTGAGCTTTCTTCCTTAGAATTTTCTTCATCCTTGGTTTAAAGAGATGCTTACAGGCTCGTTAGTTTCAGTGTCTTCAATAAATCGCACAGATCGACTTATTATAATTTTGTCTCCAGGAATTAAAATTCTGTAGCCATTACTTCTGCTGTCTTAGCCGACGAGTATTCCTTCTATAGCAAGTATCATCCAATTTACCTCTTTTAAGATTTATGGATGTAAGCAAAAGCCTTGCACCCAAAAGTCCTCAGATGAGAGAGGTTGGGTTTCTTGTTATTCCATAATTCATATGGAGGTTTTGCATTTGGTTTTGTAGGCATACGATTCTGTAAATAATTTGCAGTCAGCACTGATTCGGCCCAGTATCTGTGAGGTTGACTTGAGTCAGCTAAAAGACATCTTGTCATCTCCATCAAAGACCTATTTGTGCGTTCACTGACTCCATTTTGTGCAGGACAATACAGTACAGTAAGCTGGTGATTTATACCATGTTTTATAAGATATTCTTCAAGTTCCTTGCTTGTGTACTCACCACCATTATCACTTCTTGGCATTTTTACCTTTCTCCCGAATTTATTGTTTGTAAGAGCAATGAATTGTTTTAGTTTAGAAATTACTTCATTTTTCTTTTTCATTAGGTAAATCATTGTGAACCTGCTGTAATCATCAATAAAAGTTTTGAAGTATAGGTATCCACTAACAGGCGGTGTTTGTACTGGTCCTAAAACAACAGTGTGAACGAGTTTGAGTGGTTTAGATGCTCTGAATTTCGATTCTTTGGGATACGGGAAATCAGTTAGTTTACATTTTATGCACTGAATGCATTTGATATCATGTTTACAATTATCTCGTTTAATTCCTTCAGCGAGTTCTTTGTTTACAAGTTTCTTGATTGCGTCATCGTTTCTGTGACCAAGGCGTCTATGCCAAAGTTGAACACAGTTCTCATTTTTGCACTGAAATGCTACATGAGCTGATGGTTCATTATTCCTGTCTATTGGTTTAATTTGGTAAAGATTATTAGTTGCATGATATTCTAGAATAATCTGATCTCCTTTCGTGATTATACATTTATTTCCTTCAAACAGAACCGAAAGTCTCTTTTCTATTATTTTCTTAATTGAGATTAAATTCGTTTCTAATTCAGGAGCGTATAAAACTTCTGATAAGAGAACTTCAGTTATTTTTTGTTTAGCATTTAATGTTTTAAAACAGACAGTTCCTATCACCGTTGATTTAATACATTGCGCATTTGCAGTTATAATATCTGAAGGATTTATGGTTTTACATTCCGTGAAATATTTGTTATTATTTACGAGGTGATAACTTGCTCCGCTGTCGAAAATAAAACTCTCGGATGATTGATGTACGGTGTAGTTAATAGCAAACAGAGCGACGCTGTCACATCTGGATTCGATTTCCGGTGTTTTAATTTTTGTTTGTTGTTGATTCATTGCGAGGTTACACTCATTCTTTGCTTGGCGTGTTTTGGAATCTGCTTATATTTTCTTCGAGTTATGGCGCGCTTCATTTTTTGTTTGGATTTTAGATTATAACATTCTTATCTAAAATGATTATTTTTGTGACAGTATGAGCAAAACTTTTCTCTCTTTGTCATGTTTTGAAATGAGGCTTTAAATGCCTTTGAATCTGATGAATTATTTTCAACTCTCTTGCTAAATTCGTCAGTTAATTTCCCTTTTAAGAATTCTGGATTCAGTTACGATTCTGCTCTGGCTTCAAGAGCCGTAATGAGCGTATCGTAAGAACTAGGCATTGAACAAAGCCAAAAGTGCCGAAACGTGTTCATCTTTTATGTTCTCACCTATTGATTTGAGTTTATCCACTAACTCCAGTAATGTACTTATATGTGTTTGCATATTTCCATCTTCTTCAAGCTTCAAACTGTAAAGCTTTCGCAAAAGAAATAGTTTACCTTAAAGATTAGACCTTTCATGTACCTGCCTGAGTT